AAATTACGTATTTAGAGTTCGTAATGGGAACTACAGTCTGTGATACAAAATGTTTCATGCAGGTCCAGGTCTTCGTATAGGCCACATAAATCAGTGCCGTCATATATTCGGTATTTTGACGATTTTAGGTACAATACTCACCGAAACTGTTTGAGATGTCGTATTTGAAGTTCGTAATGAATGCTACAGCCTGTGACAGAAAATTGTCTATGCAGGTCCAGGTCTTCGTATAGCTCCGATATAACGGTACCTCCCTATATATAGTATTTTGAAGATGCTACATTATACCCGTTTATAATATGGTAATGGTTTATAACAAACAATGTAATTCCACGTCGTATAGACCCCAATATAACGGCTATTTTTAATTTAAAAAAAAAGAGACCACCATACTATGGAGGGTATATTAATTTTGTCATTCCGTTTGTAACTCCTCGAAATACTAATGTCAGACCCAACAAAGTATATATATTCTTGATCAGCGTAAAATTCTAAGACGATTTAGCCATGTCCGTCTGTCTGTCTGTCCATCTGTCTGTTGTAATCACGCTATCTTTCGAACGAATTAAGATAGAAGGCTAAACTTTTGCAGACATGTATATTTTGCCAGTAGGCAGGTTATGTTCGTAAATGGGCTATGTAGGCCCACGTTATCATATAGCCCCCATATAACGGTACCTGCCGACCTGGGTATTTTGATGATTTTAGCGACATTATTATTCACATATATTGTTCATCCGATTTGTTATATTTGTCCTCCGCACCCGTAATATGAACTCTGTAACAACAATATTTGGGGAAATATAGCAAATACAGCTCAGAAATACATGTGATAAATTTTATCGAGATCGGTTCAGATTTGGATATAGCTCCCATATATAACTTCACCCGATTTACCTTTTATTGTGCACCAAACTAATATTTGTCCAAATGGGATGGAATTTGGCACTTACGACCGAATTGAGCCTAGAAGCTAGTATGTCGAATTTGGTGAAGATCGGTTTAGATATAGCTATAGCTCCCATATATATTGTTCATCCGATTTGTTATATTTGTTACCTACAACCGTAATATGCACTCCGGAAATATATCAAATACAGCTCAGAAATAGCTTTGCCAAATTTTATCGAGATCGGTTCAGATTTGGATATAGCTCCCATATATATCTTTATCCGATTTCAAATTAATTGTGCTCCAAAGTCCGAATACATGTGATAAATTTTATCGAGATCGGTTCAGATTTGGATATAGCTCCCATATATAACTTCATCCGATTTACCTTTTATTGTGCACCAAACTAATATTTGTCCAAATGGGATGGAATTTGGCACTTACGACCGAATTGAGCCTAGATGCTAGTATGTCGAATTTGGTGAAGATCGGTTCAGATATAGCTATAGCTCCCATATATGTTGTTCATCCGATTTGTTATATTTGTTACCCACAACCGTAATATGCACTCCGGAAATATATCAAATACAGCTCAGAAATAGCTTTGCCAAATTTTATCGAGATCGGTTCAGATTTGGATATAGCTCCCATATATATCTTTATCCGATTTCAAATTAATTGTGCACCAAAGTCCGAATTTAAAAGAAAAATTGCAAAATGTAGAACATTTTATGTATGTATGCGGTTTGCTTGAAAGGGATGTTGCCTTTTCCACGATTTTCTAGCGATTGCTTGAAGAGATTAGAACCAACAGCTAACAACTATACATTCAGGGGAATGATGTGAAAGCATTAAAATTAAATATTTTATGAACTATCCTTCTGCATTTTCAATTTAATAATCCGAATTCCAAAAATGTATATCTTTGAAATAAAAATAATTTATAAAATTAATTATTATGTTTACATTTTTGGACACATAACTCTGACACTTTTATTACGTACAAAAACAAATTTGTATGTGGTTATTGTTACGATTGTTATACAACAACACTTGCTGTTACCTGTATTATTTTACCATGGGGGTTAGCTTTGTAATTGCGCCATGCTACCCCCTAAATACAATACAGTTGCTCTGTTCCAGTATGTGCATGAATCTACTATTTTTGCAATTTTCTTCGATATCATAAAAATTCGTGGTAAACACTTTTATCTTCTTACAGTTCTTACAGTTCTGGAAAAGATCCATTTTGTATATGTGTGTGTATTGTGTTAAATTAAAAAGAAAATAATTTGAAATTATTTCAAATTTAGATACAACAAAAATTCATATTTTCCACGTTAACGCGCAGAAAAAAGTATTTTGGTATTAAACAACAGTGTCCCTCTATATTGTATTTAATTTTGTGGAGAAACCCCAATATTTAATTCCCATTTTGTGGGTTTTCCGCAATATAGTTATTTTGTGAAAATAGTAAAGTAAACAAAACCATTTGTTGCACATTTAAAAATATATTTGATACCATGGTAGAAGAATATAGGTAGACGCATCGACACAGCTGCTGGGACAATGAACTGTCAAACCAATTTCGGAATTGAAAATGTTGAATGAAAAATTATTCAAATTTGTAAAAATTGTTGAAAAATCTACTTATATTTGAAAACAAATTTAAATTTTATTGACATATCAATGCTCTCAAGCGTTAATGCATCTACCTGTATTCTTCTGTCATGTTTGATACTATAATACCCCGGCACAGAGTTGCATTTCCCTTTTTTTAAGTGGATCCACGGTCTGTTCCCGAACTGCAAGAATGTAAAAGTTTTTACTACGACAGCCTACTTTCCCTTTATTATATCGAAGAATATTGCTAAACTAGTAAATTCTTGCAGGTACTGGAACAGAGCAATAAATGAATAATACCAGAAATATTAATGTAATTGGAATTGGTAGTTTGGTAGACTCTAAAATATGGGCCTGACGTACGAGCGTACAAAACATTTTGCCATAATGGGGAAGTTGAATATTTGGGTACGGTACGTCGAATTTTAAAATAAAGGTATACAACTTTGACTGTATTTTTGAAACATTTGTTGTACTCTATCAGATGATATGCTCTAGCTCATGGTAGAATAATACAGGTAACAGCAAATGTTGTTAAACAACCACATACGAATTTGTTTTTGTACCTAATACAAGTCTTAGAGTTATATGTCCAAAAATATAAAAAAAAAATTAATTTTCTATAAAATGTTTTAATCTCAAAAATATACTTATGTAGAATTTGGATTATTAAATTTAAAATGCAGAAGAATAGTTCCTCAATTATCTAATTTGAATGCTTTATTATCATTCCCCTGAATGCATAGTTATTAGCTGTAGATCCTAATATCTCAACACTTAAAGCAATCGCTAGAAAATTGTGGAAATGGCAACATTCTTTTCAAATTGAAACCAATCTTCATATACACATAAAGTATTCTACATTTTGCAATTTTAGGAAACATGAAATATACGGATATGGTACATAATGTTGTATAGCTACTTTTTAACAGCGGAAACAGCATGACACTAGTATTAATATAGAATCAAATCAGCTGGGACTTGCTGTTGTCGAATGCATATTACGAATGCGAGGGACCTAAACACCAAATCGGATGAAACATATATATGGGAAATATAGCTATATCTGAACCGATTTTCACCAAATTTAATGTACTCTCTTCTAGACTGAATTCGATCGGAGGTGCCAAAATTCAGGTCATTTGGACTGATATTGGCCATTTAGTGCACAATTAACCCCAAATCGGTTGAAGATATATATGAGAGCTATATCCAAATCTGAACCGATATTGACAAACTTTGATACACTTTTTTCAGAGCTGTATCTGATATATGGTACCAAAGATCATTGTTGCGGAATGGATATTACGCGTGTGAGTGACTTTAAACACCATGGTTGCATGGTAAAATTAAGAAGGAAAATTCATTTCAAATAAGAATATCCATCCCGGCATTTTCTTTGATACACTTATTTCAGAGTTGTATCTGATATATGGTACCAACGATTATTGTTGCGGAATGGATATTACGGGTGTGACCTCATGGTTGCATGGTAAAATTAAGAAGGTAAAGTCATTTCAAATAAGAATATCCATCTCTGCATTTTCTGTAATTTAGCATATCAAATTTCTCTGAATAAAAAAAAAATAAAAGTGACATCTCATATGTAAAACCCTATTCTGATAGCAGCTTACGGCCTGAATTCCACGCCTGTGCTTCTTTATTAAATTTGCCTTAAAATACATCCTCTTAAATCCATACCTTGTCAATTTTCAATGTATAGGAAACAGGTTCCCATCTGTGAATTCATTATATACAATGGATTTGTAAATATACATCTTTCGAAATTAATAATTTCAAAAAAAAAAAAAAATGTAATCATATGACTGCATGACTTTGCCTACTTAATTTTACCATGGATTTTTCCTTTATAATATCAAAGAAAATTGCAAAACTATTAGATTCTTGCAGATTCTCGAACAGAGCAAAAATGTACACAAATATTGAATTGTTTTCTAATTTGGAAAATAAGTTGTAACACCTTACTATTACATCTGGATAGTTTGCCTAAATTTTCTTCTTTTGACTTTAATGTCTTTACTCTCTGAAAACAAATTACAATGGTTTGTCCCTTCCCTGCAAGAATGTAAAAATGTTTACTATGATAACGAACTTTTCGTTTATGATGTCGAAATAATTGCAAAACTAGTACGATCTGGAACAAAGCAGTTATTTGCTGTTGGTTACCTACAATAATTGTATCGTGAAGTCCACATGTATAACAGCTGATTCTTAAAACCATTGTATTGACGTATCATTATGCCTTTTTGTTGACGCCATACGCCGTAGTTGATAGTGCATACGCTGTACAATGAAAGCTTTGCAATTCCAACCAACAAACTTCGTCAAATACAATAAAATATTCTGTAAAATGAAGGGGTATTTGGCGATTTCTTATTGGTAACCGGTACCCATATCCGTTGAAAAGAGCGAGACAACCGCATAATTTAGCAAACGAGCCACCAATAGATTTGGCTCGTCGTTTAGCCGAGTCTTTTGTACGTTCGTTTGTAAAGGCAGTCGTCAAAATCAAGTGCGATTTGTGTGGTGCAAAGAATTGTGAATTCGTCGTTACTACATCGAATTCATTTGCCAAATCTCTGAATTCTGACAAAAGAGCAAATTCACAAATTTCCAACGTTTCTTTTTTTCTTTAAATATTTTCCATTAGAAATATTGAGTAGAATTAAATAATTTTTTATTGATATTCGGATTGTTAAGTGAGCTTTGCTACACAACAATTGTTGGTGAGGAGCAGCGGCGGCTTCAACCTCTCGTGGAAAAAAGAAAAATCATACACAGAAAATTTGTAATCAAATTTTAACAGCATAAAATGGCGTTAAAAAGAATTAATAAGGTATGTGAATTTGTTGGAGAACGTTTGAATAAGAATGATCAAAGGATAAAGAACTAAACGAAAATAATTGAAATGCAAAAAATGCGGTGACAAAAAGATGAAAAATGATTTTAGATTGGCATAAGAAAAAAATTTATGCAAGAAATGTGAAACGTCGTCGTCGTCTCGGAGTGTAAAAAATGAGAAGCGAATAAAATGACGGGGAAAATTGATCGAATAAAATGATGGGCTACCGACCGAATAGTCCAACCGATGAGACACCGCACACACGGCACGAAGTTTTTTCTTTTTTATTTTTTTGCTTTGCTGAAGCTTGCTAAAAAGTATTAATGGCAATTCAAATAAGGGAAAAAAATGATACATTGTGGTTGGTGACGATTTTTCTGTCTACAATTGGAGAAAAAAGCTGTGGAAAGTCCAATGATCTCGTCTTGGTAAAATGGAAATGGTTGCGGAAAAAGTTCTGTGCAAAATAAAAAATTGTAGAAGAAGTGTTGTTCGGTGGGGAGATATCGAATTTTTACATTTTTATTCTGCATGTGGACCCCCTCATTTCCTGTGTGTGTATGTTGACGATGATGATGGACTTTTGTTTTTTTTTTTCTCCTACAGTGATGAGGAATGAAAGTAATGAACGAAGAATTTGCATTACAGCGTGTCTGATCAAAAGCTGAGGAGGAAGCCGGTTTCAACGAATTTGGCCAAGGAATATTTATCCATCTATGCCAGAATTAAAAATAGAAGAAAACACAATGGCAATGTTTTTTGCTCTTTCCTAAAGGTGTTACCCAATTTTCGTGGTATACACAGCAATTATAGCTATCAGTCTTTCCGTCTGTCCGTGTACGTTTTTTTATAGCAGTTCTGTTGCTATCAAAAGCAAAAACACAAGAACAACACACACAAAGCAAAGACAAAGTGAATACTCTCCAGCAGTTAGTCAGTCATGGCACGGCACTACAAGTTGTCTCAGTCAGTCGCCAGTCTGCCAAATGAGCAAGAACCTAACCTAACATTTGTTTCTTTAAATTGCAAACGCCAACTTGTCACAGTTGGTGTTTGCCATTACTTCATGGAGTGGTGCAAGGATATTCTTGTACATTTTGAATGCAATGTTTTAATTGATTTGCTGCCATTGCTGGGAGAAGGAAAAAAAGAAAAACTTCTAGAATATAGTACAATCATAAGCAGCAAAAGCGTCGGCGACGACGTCGACTGCAGCAAGCAAAACGAAGCGAACAACTCGACATCAGCAGGCAAACGTCACATTTAACAGGGACGTTAGCTGTTTTTGTTGTTTTGGTTTTGTTTCTTCGTTTGGTTGGTTTTTGTCGGGGGTCTACTTTCTATTTCTTTTCTTCTCGTAATTCGTATAGCTTTCTCTCAAAGGCCAAATTGTTTGAAATAGTGTTGTCTCCCTTTTGTTTGTTGTTGTTTTTTGACAGACGGACAAACAGACGGTTGTGTTCAGCCGCAGTGGCCCAGCTAGCAGAGTTTACCGAGAGCTCGCTCTCTATTGTCGCAGCTGTTTTACGCCCTTGTTTGTTTTCTTGCAAAGCCGGCTTTATTCCAATAGGATTTTTGCTTTTTCTTTATTTTTGTGATATTTGTTTGTGGGAGGCTGTTATTCACCAGAGGTGGATTGATAAAACCTAGTCTGGTTGTAATACATTAACTCTGTAAATTTTGTTTTGCAAAATTTAGAGATTTGTGGCTGTTTTTAATTTTCTTTTGTCCTGATGCTGTTGTCCCTTTCTTTCTTTGTACTTTGTTTTCGTTTTTTAGTTAGGGGTTCTCTGTGCTTTATTCCGTTGACGTTACTCAGTAATTTTATAAGGCACAGAGTTGTATTTTTGATTTATAGTTTGCAAAAACTCATGCGTGACACAAACGCACACATTTACTTTAATAAAAGAAAACAATGTACACAAATAAAATCTTATCGGATTTTTTTGTATCTGGAATGAATGGGTGTTTTTTAATAAGAAAGGATCTTCTTGGGTGTAGGGGTTACCAGATGTTTTGGTGTTTTAATTTGATAACCAAGTTGTGGTCGATTACTGACCTTCGTTTGTGCCAAGTGCAAATTTCGTCGCTAAATGAATGCTGTGTGTGTTGACTGTTGTCGTCTAATGTCAAATTTCAAAAAGGAAATCTCCAACAAACCAGCATGTGTCACTGTACGCGTAAAGTTCAACTTTATCCAAAGCATATTATATATTGTGACTAATAAATGTGTAATGTCAGGGGACAATTGTAAAAAATGAACAGCTGCTAACACACTAGTAGAAATGAAAAGCATCGCTCACTAACTTTCGCCAGGGGGAATGGTTGAAGATACAGTTTTTGTTAAAAAACTAAAAATTTAATTGATTTTTCAGGGACGGATAAAAATACAAAACCTCTAAGTCTATTGGGTATTGTAAATGACTCGAATGAATCAAAGAAGGAACATAAAGATTCAAATTGAATTGAAATCCAAAGACAAATGCTGGTGTATTATACTATTTGATGGGTTTGCAAACACCTGTTGTACTATTGTCTGGTGCTTATTTAACATCAAACTCTCGTTGTACAATAGTGAGGTGCTTATGTCACATTGGAGCTTTAATTTATATTAAGTACACCTCCCAGAATTATTCCAAATTTGTACCGCGTGTAGTCATTTTAATCCCAATAATATACTTTTTGTAGAATTCCAAAATAATTCCCAAGATATGTGTGGACCTCAAAAGCTCAGTCCCAGAAACAACAACAAATGTACCCATTGTTTACATTATTCGTGTTGACTGGATTTTTTTGCTGTACAATCTTGTAAACCCTGGGGGTGAAAATGTAAAGCCCCGGTTGAATGCGGACTATCTAAAAATGAGTATCGAATTTAGAAGCACTTTGGTTCGCGTAGCCTCAACACCGGTATAACCCATGGGTGATAAACTAAACGTCAGCTATCTAAAAGGGAGTGTTATTATATTTTAGAAGCACGTTGGTTCCCGTATTTGGTTCGCACAGATATGTAAATCCGAAGTTCTTAAACTAATAACTCGGCATAAAGTTTTTAATTATCTTCAATGTTGTTAATGTTTGAACTCATCAGAGAAAAATGCTACCTTTTCCTAATGTATATGTTCAGGATGGTGCAGCCGTCTCAATTCATGGGCAAGAATTGACGAAGATGTGCGGAGCGCCTGCCCAGCGTGCGATACAGGTCCGACCAATGCGCTGCACCTGTTTCATTGTCCAGGCAAGCCTACTCAACTCCGTCCAGAGGATCTTTGGCTACAGCCCATTAAGGTAACAGAATTCCTAAACCTGGACATCGAGGAAGAACCGGATTAATCAGTCAATAAACAACGGAGCACGTTGTCACTGCTACAACAACAATATTTGCCTAAAAAGACCTTAACATATAAATCCATAAGAATAAATACTGTATGGTCGAAATTAGGCCTAAGCAAATTAATACCACGCTAAACTTTTTCGAATTGGATAAAGGGTACCTATTTACTGTCTTGCCAATAAGTTCGATGTCGAAATCTCAACTTTATAATCGAAATGCGATATAGTACTGTTCAATTTTGAGGTATTCTTGTTAACATTTTCTCAGGAATAACATTAGTTATATAGTAATAGCATTATAATAAAATTACGCGAAACCCCTAGTGGAACATATTATTAAACAAACAAATTATTTTTGTGCGTTTAAGTTCATTCTTAGAAGCTCTTTCTTATAAAAATAAAGCAGTAACTTATGATTGAATTTTTACAAGGAAGGTTTAGGGTATTGGTTTGTCTGAACTTTCTGATTATGAACATATATTTTTGATACATTTTCGAAACCAATATAAGTAAATTTACATTATTTTTGACCTCATTGAGTTTCCTTTGTCTTGACAACAATAAAATCGATTAAGGACTTCAAAAATGTCTAGAATATGGATCTGTCGTACCCATTTCTCTTTGTTATTTTCCATTTCTTGGTTTACAGTTTACACCTTTACGACGCTACATAGAGTACCACTCGTTTTAAGTTTTAAGATAGAAATTTAAATAAGCTACCGTCTTATATGAAGATTGATATTAATAATACCATTGGGGACATCTCATGTCAGGGACCGCGCGTGGATAATTTTTAAAAATTAACCACAAGCAGTTCTTGGATCCTATTTACAATACAATATGATATTACTTGTTGAAGTATATTCTTCTCGGAATATATGTCTTTGCTCAGACCAGGTTTAATACTTAAGCTCTGAAAGAAATGCATAATAATGATAATTTGTTTCAAACGGAAACCAATCAAGCACCATACAGCTCAACGAAATAGTTTTCCTAAAATTAATTGTATTGACTTGAAGTTGTTTGTTTCATGTTGAGTAAATGGTTAATATCTAAACCGGCGATTTCTCTAAATCACCCTAGGTATGTGTGGACGTACATTCGTTTGAATATATGTTTGCATAGTAAAGTAGCCAGTTGGCTGTTCTATAAAGGTTTACCGGTAGTTTAACGTTTTTCTTTGTCTTTCATATTCATTTGTTGATGAGTCATCATAATAATTTTTCTTTACTTTTTTTCATGTTGAAGATATGACAAAAATTGCCATTGTTGTTTAACGTTTTGCATGCTTTAAAAAAGCATATTTATTCCAAATTTATTATTAGTTTATTTATCTCTTTTATCTCATAATCAACTGCAACTTGGGATTTTATAATCATAAAATGTCACAGTTGAACATTTTGTTGGTTGTTTTTTTTTTTTTTTTTTTTTCATTTATTATACATTAGTCATTGCGATAACAGCAACGTTGCTAAATAGCCTTCCATTGCTTCGAGTCATATGATGTCAAGGTCATTACTTTGTAAGAATTAAATATATTGATTTTCATGTTTGAAATTGGTGTTAGTTTTCCTCCACGTTAACTAAAATAATTTTTTTTAGAACTAAGTCGAGAGAAATTCAAAAATGCACGAGTCTGACCTACCAGGCCACTGTAGTTTTGCTGCTTTTATTTTCTGGCGAAGTTAAGCATTTGCAAATTCTTCACGTAATTAATATAAAATGTTAGTTTCAGAATGATTTAAGCTTGTTCTTTCTTGTGTTATTTGTAAACAATTAATTTATATTTTCCGTTCTTTGGGGACTAAATTTACTAGGTGAACTCACACGAATTCGAGTCAACTTACAAAAAATAAAAACGACTACGATTTCTATGAAGAAAAATGAATAAGGAGAATGCACGACATATTCATCTGGTTATCTATGCAACGTGCTCTAAGAAGAATGATGGTTATTTTAACATTTTTTTTATTTTATTGAATAAAAACAAATGTCAAATTTGATTTCTTCGAATTGGTCACCTTTGGCACGAATTACGGCCTTCAAACGGCCAATGAAACTGTCACACGCTTCCCGAATTTTGATCTGCGGTATTTTGGTCTATTCCCGGCGAAGCGTTATTTTTAGTGCTAACCTTGCTTTCCAAAATACTCCAGACACAATAGTCCAATGGATTGTTATCCGCATTGTGCGTTGGAAATGAACCTCATTTTGTAACCATTTCGGTGGCGCGTGCTGAGTCCTGTTGGAATGTCCAAGGTCTGCGACCAAAATGTATGCGTGCCCTGAAGAACATTTTCGCGATCATATTCGGCGGCCCACACCATCACCATGGCCGGCGCTTGAGTTCTGGTGGCCAACAGAAGGTGCACATTTTCAGCTGACCTCTTTGGCAAGTTGACACGATTATTTTGTTTGTTTCATACTGCTGGACAACGAATGTTTTCTAATCGGAGAAAACCAAATTCGGCAGTTCAGCACTTTCGGCCAAGCGAAGCAACTCTTTAGCTCTTTTGAGTCTATTTTCATTCTGTTGCGGTGTAAGTTCTTGCACTTTTTGGAGCTCATGTTTCAATATTTGCCGAATGGAATATTGCCATATGTTTACTTTTCGAACCATTTCTGCTGATGTTGCTGTTTTCTTCCGTCCACTTCCTTGACGTCGGGCTACGCTGCCAGTATCACTGTAACAAGCGATGGTATCAATATCAATATCCACTTGGGGTTTTCCAGCCAAATATAAAGAAGTCACACCATCACGCTCGAATTCCATCACGAATTACCTTTTTCTGGAAAATTCTTACCAAAATGCTTTTGTACGCTTGTAAACAATATAATAAGCTGTCACTGAAATAATTTTAACAGCTGTCGGACGAGTGGCTTAGAAATGACTGCAGTCTGAAGTTGGTTGCAGTTTTTTTCATCTTACTCTGTATATCTGGACAAATTAATTTTGAAATTTTTTATGTGTAGTCTGATTTAATAAGTTTTAAAAATGCGGATGTTTAGATATTGCGTGTTTTCATGAATTATAAAATAGGTTTGATGTAGCCATCGACAATGATTTTTAGCGATGTTCTGGAACCCGATATGAAACTGTGCCCAAGTCTAGTTATGTTTATGTCACCATATAGCTCATATACCAATTTTCTTAATTTTTAAATAATGCATTGATGTTTTGGTCCGTCGGCGTTTGATTTGTATTTTGAGCTTTTTTAGAGCATAACCATTTATTGTCAGATGTTTGTTTTGTATTGGGCATAATTTTTGATTTTTCCCGATGTGTATAATAAACCTATTTAAATAATAATTCCATGAACATTATTCGGAACCATAAATAACTGGTTAACTTTCCCTATTTCCTTTTTGTGTAAATGGATGTCAAAAACCAACACATTTATGCCTTTTTAGATAAATAAAATACAAGAATATTCCTGTTGTTAACTATCAAAAATACTTAAAAGTATGTAGTGTTAAAATTATTTTTACTTGTTTTTTTTTAGATTTTATTCGTGATGTTATTTTTGTTTTGGTCATTGCTGACGTTTTGTCAACGTTGATCGTTTCTGATGGACGAATATTATACATCCCCGGCAGTTATAGCCAGCCATGCATATATATTTATTATGTAGATATATTTGTGTGTTTGTATATATAATAAACGATGATATATATAAATACTATGTATTATGAGGCATGGTGGTGCTACCTCTTCCTGATCTTACTCTATATGTAGCATATTTCTCGATACATGCGGTGTGTGTGAATGTGTTTTTATATTTTTTGCTTTTGTTTTCTTTCTCTACGTCAAGGAAATACAAACAGGCGACAGACAGACATATAGTGTGGACTTGTGTGCTTTCTTTGCCTTCATGTCGTCACAATTCTTATAACGCATAATCGCATTGGAAACAAAGTGTAAAATGTTACACTTGTACTCTTCTTTTTTGTCATGAAATTTAGATTTTTAGTTTATTTGAAATTGTCATGTTTGGAAGTTTTTAATTCTTTGATACTGTGGAGCCAACGGTATTATGTCTTTGTGCATTCAAAAGAAAACGAAATGGACCTATAGTTTCTTTATATGATGCAAAGAAACTAGAACAAGTAAAACAGTTAAGCCGGGCCGAACTTTTAATATATATATTTTTTTTAATTTGGAAGGAACTTGAAAAATTTCCAATAACTTCCGGAAAGAAAATACCACTTAAATGAAAAATGTTTTATTGAGACTACGAAGACGTGGACCTGTTACAAATTCTTTTGTCATAGGCTGTAGTACCCATTATGAACTTCAAATACCAAATTTGAAAAACTTCCGGTTAATATTGTCGCTAAAATCATCAAAATACCGAATATCGGGATGTAGCGTTATATGGGGATATACAAAGACTATACAAACATTTTTGTCATATGTTGTAGTACCTAATATGAACTCTAAGTATGAAATTTGAAATAATTCCGGTAAATACTGTCGCTAAAATCATGAAAATACCCGATATCGGGAGGTACCGTTAGAAGGGGGCTATACAAAAACGGGGACCGACCCACTTACGAATTTAACCTGCCTACTGGTAAACTATGCATGTACGCAAAATTTAAGCCTTCTATCTCAATTTGTTCGAAAGATAGCGTGATTACAAAGATCGAAAGATAGCGTGATTACAGACGGACCGACAGGCAGACGTCTTAGAATTTCACGCAGATCCAGAATATATATACTTTGTAGGGTCTATTATACGAGGAGTTACAAACGGAATGACAAAGATAATATAAAAATACAACTCTGTGCTGGAGTCTTATAGTGTCAAATAGACTTTTAAATATGCAACAGTTGGTTTTGTTCATTTATTTTTTTCAATTTTTTAAACAAAATTCTTATATTGTGCCTTGCCTTGTCGTATAACGCAAAAGGTTCTACTAAATTGGTAGTATATTTTTGTAGCTCTGATAAATAGGAATCAAATTCAAAACACGAACAAAAACGTTTCTCAAACAGTCGCAGAATTTCAAATTGGAATCAAAATAAGCTTTTTCAATTGCCTCATAAGAATAGGCCATTAAAAACAAAACTAGATGTGGTTTTGAATCACATATCCGACTTACGAGAAAAATAATGTTTTAAAATGTCAATTTTTCATTGAAACTTTCGAATAAATTTGGTGAAGAGATATTTTCTAAAACTGATTTTTTTGGAAATCGGACAAGTTCATTATCCTCGGGTTTTACTTGCTTTTAGTTCACCGGTTTCACTAGAATTCGCACTAACATTTTAAACGGCCTTAAAATAAACTCGACAATCATTTCATTAAATCTCCACCATGTTGAGCTTATATGGAGAGAACTAATGTTATCTTTACAAAACCACTGTGCAAAAGTGGCATCACATGCACTTTTTGGTTTTGCAATCAGATTTTGGGTTTTGTTAGGCAAACATTTTTTTCATCTCTTGCCAAAAAAACAAACTTTGCTTGCATTTGTGTGTTGAAAGCAGCCAGAGCAGGGCCAATGAACTTTTTTAATACAGAAATTTTACATGCATTTTGGTGGGGGTATTAAATTTTATATTTTTAGTTGTGGTGGGATGTGTGGACGTGCCTGCGTGCGTGTGAAACGTTTGCTTATTGTCGTTTTTACGGTTTCTCATTTTTCTTGCAATTTATACCTTCATTGCAAATAAATTTGTTCATATCGTTTTATGAGACACAGTTACCAATACAATTGGGTATAACAGTTTTTTTTTTCTTAACAAACCTTGGATATTAAAGTATGATTATGGATTTATACGTAGTTTTGCATTTCAATTCATTCGTGATTCATTCTATTTTACATGTACTAAATAATATTTATCTTTATTCTAGGAATTACAAGATTTGGGCAGAGATCCACCTGCACAATGTTCTGCTGGTCCAGTTGGCGACGATTGTAAGTATAATTGTTCAATGAATACAGTTATCTTATAACGACTTATTCATCAAGCTAAATCCATTCAACAATTTATTATGAATTTGAAAAATTTGATCCTGGAAGTTATACTCATTTTATTTTCAAATGTCTGCTAAATAAAAATGTTTTTGACCTCATGTCCGATAATTCCCACTTTGTAGAAGGGGGGGGGGGTCTCTCATAAGACTGCGTAGGATATCTCCATTGTATCTGCAAAGTTTTCAATCGTTTCTTCATTCCATCATAGTCTTTCAGTACAAATTGGTTTTTGATTGATGTGGGGTTGTACGACCAAGGACATACAGGGAGAGATAAAAAAAACTGCAACAAAGCCAACCCCCATAATTTTTAAATTGTTTTTTAAATGTTATCGTTTTTACATTTTTTTTTTAATTTTATTGAATGAAAGCAAAACATTTCGGAAATAGCATCAAATTTTAGAATAAGTTTAGATTTGTTCGAATTGGTGGCCACCTTTGGCACGAATTATGGCCATCAAACGGACAATGAAACCGTCACACGCTGCCCGAATGTTGGTCTGCGGTATTTTGGTCCATTCCCGGCGAAGCGCTTTTTTGAGGCGATCGACACTGGTATTTTTTAGTGTTAACCCTGCATTCTAAAATACTTCAGACGGATTGGTATCCAGAGATTTTGGTGGCCATTCTGCGCTAGAAATGATTAGAGGAACCTCATTTTGTAACCATTCTTGGGTGGCGCGTGCTGAGTGCGATGGTGCTGAGTCCTGTTGGAATGTCCAAGGTCTGCGGCCAAAATGTTGGCGTGCCCAAGGCTTTAATACACCCTCCAGAATATTTTCGCGATAATATTTGGCATTTATTCTGATGCCACGGTTGATTCATAAGAGCGGAGATCGTCCATCGGCCATAGCTGACGCTTGAGTTGCCAACCGAAGGTGTAGAGTTTCAGCTGACCTTTTTGGCAAGTAAACACGATCATTTCGTTTGAAACTGCTGGACAACGAGTGTTTTCTCATCGGAGAAAATAAAATTCGGCAGTTCACCACTTTTCGGCCAAGCGAAGCAACCCTTTGGCTCTTCTGAGTCCATTTTCTTTCTCTTGCGGTGAATGTTCTTGCACTTTTTGGAATTTCAATGGCTTTACCCCGAGCTCATTTTTCATTATTTGCCGAAAGGAATATTGCGATGTGTTCAGCTCAAGAGCCATTTTTCAGCCACTGCGACGAAGGTCGATTTTTTACTTTTTGAACCATTTCTGCTGGAGTGTTCTAACGATAGCCACTTGTGATTTTCCAGCCAAATATAAACAAATCACACTATCACGCTTGATTCCATCACGAATAACTTTTTTTCTGGAAAAATCTCACAAAAAAGCTTTTATACGCCTGTAAACAATATAATGAGCTGTCCCTGGAATAATTTTAACAGCTGTCGAACGAGTGGCTTGGAAATGATAGCAGTCTGGGCTGCCTTTCTGTCAATGTTTAGGTAGTGGAGGTATTTACTTCAGTCATCCTAGCTGGGAAATTTATTAAACAAAAAATGTCCGCTCTTTTTTTCTCTTTGTACCTCTTTGTTATAATTGTTAACATGAATTGTGAATAATTTGATTATGAAAAAAAATTATAAAAGTTCCCCTGAGTTATGGAGGGAGTATTCCCAAAGGTTTTTTGGTGCGTTCCCAAAAAAATAACACCCCATTGTTAGGGGATTAGAGGTCAATTAAGGGCACCAGTAACGTCGCTTTGTCGAGTCCAAGGAGCACGCGAATATTTGGTCCAAGATTTAATTCGCATCTATCTAATATATCATTTGTGCATTCCTGCAGACGCGGCCGATAGCACACAGCATTTTACCCTACACCCTACACAAGGTGGTTAGGGTATTATATCATTGTGTATTTGTTTGTAACGGGCAAAAGGAAACGAGAATGAAGCTTTACTAAATATGCAAAGGCTGTATGGTATCATAAAGTCGGCCCGCAAGACTTTTAGACTTTATTGGTTTGAGTTATTACACTCTTTGAGTAATTGATCATCATAGGTATTGGCAACTACTTCTATCTTCTGATCGAAAATTACAATTCAATCAATGAGAGAAAGCCAATGGTGTCACTACTAATAAAATCAACAGTATTTACCAAATTTTCAAAAGGTAATTTTAAAAGTGTCGCAAGCATACGTCATTTCACTGGGCTGCTTTAAAAGTATCCATCAATGTTCATCGTTATCTCTGCTGCACTTATCGTTGGATTTTTAAAAGGAAAAAATCCAAAATTTTATGGTACAAACTGAATCAACAATTGTTTTAAGAAATTAAAAAAACAAGAACTCAATAGCACTAGGAAAACGAAGCGGAACTTGCCATGAAATTCAGTTCCAGGGACCAAGATTGATTTGAATCCAAGAATTTACTTTTCAATTTCAAAATTAAAATGATCCAAGGAGTATGAAAGGTCACATGTTTTTTTTTATATTTTCGGAACAATTGTTGGTTTATATTTTCCAATTAAAAATTTATTCACTAAAACATATTAAGATTGAATTAAAACACATAGCAATACTTTAGGACCAAATTACTCCAACATTAGTCCAAATGTAGGTCTTTTTATGTAGTAGAGTTTTGCCTCTTAAAAATGGAAATTTGAGAGAGTACGTTGAAGTAAATTTACTCCAGACTTAGGAAACAAAATCTGAGACACAGATTATGTTTGCGAAACTAATACAACTTGTATAGACCTTAAGACGCATTTTAAATTACGGGTACAGAAAGATGTATTTTATTATGTAGCACGTATTTTTTCTATATGGAAAGAGTTTTTTTTTTTATTTCTTTTGACCAATATAATATAATAAAATACCATGATTGTTAGCATTATTCATAACGTAAACATTTTCTCTTTCTTTTTCAGTATTTCACTGGCAAGCAACAATAATGGGACCGGTAAGATATTATAGTGTGATAGATAATAAGTTTCAATTTTTAAATAATAATTGAGGGCTTGAATTTTTGATACAAATTTATAAAAAAACAAACAAGATTACACTTTAAGTGGTGTAATCTATTTGGGCGAATTCCTATTCCAGATCCTACACGTAATTTAGTTTGAATAGTTATTTGCATGGAACACACAAACGGACTTCTTCAGATGAAAATATTTCTTTTTTCTGTCGATAATTCTAAAATAAATCATTTTTAATTTAAGAAATCTATATGTACATTGAAACATTTCAATTGTTATTCAGGAGTTAGACAAGGATTTGTATTTTTTTATCAAGAAAGTAATTTGAATTTAAATGAACGGCGAGTGTATATTTATATCGGACTGTTGTGTATCAGTTGCAGTTCCCAAAACTGAACTTGTTTTTATTTTCAGTGGCCTTAGGATAAGCTATTTTAAAGGACAAACTATTGCAAAATTAACAGCAAGTTGTTCTGTATGTTGTAGTGGTTCTACAAAATTATTTTGAATCAGTCCATACTGATTCATGGATTGGTTTAGGGACGCGTAGTTATACAGAAGTCGATAGCAGCTTCACTAGGAGACCTATAGCCATTATGTCCATCCTTGCAAGAAAAATTGTGGATAGTAAGATAAATTATAGATAGTGTCGATAGAAGATGTAGATTTAAAAAAAAACACAAATTGGGGTGATTTAGCGGGTTGGTTTTCCCAACCAGGAGAGGCTTTGTAGCAATGTTATTATGGTATATATGTCCCAGAAGAATGTATTCGTCTCTTGTTCAGTCAGTCTCATCAACCTGTAGATCTATCGACTGGGAACTACCCCGAACTAATTCATTACCCACCCAATAAAGCTTAATAAAGTCTTTGATTTTCAAGAGGTCTTACCTGGAGTCAGAAATGAGACTCGATTTGGTGACACTTGGATTCAGCTGTAAGAGCTGCCTGATTATTGGCATACATAGCTACTGTTCGTCTTATGTTCTGTTCCAGATCCTGCAAGAATCTACTAGTTTTGTCATTTTTTTCGATATCATAAAGGATAGAGCGATCATTAGGCTATTACTAAGTTGTCTTAACATTTTGGCTGCATTCTTGATTGTAAACAAGTAAAAAAGCTGTAATGAATACATTTGGAACCAATTTTGCAATTTTCAAAAAAATTAAATCCGTTAAAAATACTGTTAAAATCTTAAAAATACAGCATGTACCTGTTGTATTAACGAAACTTGAAAAAAAATATCGGTGAATAATGTCGTTAAAATCATTAAAATATCGAATATCGGGAGGTGCCGTTATATGGGGGTTATACGTAGACGTGGACCCACACGGACAATTTTCTGTCATAGGCTTTAGTATCTATTACTAACTTCAAATACCAAATTTGAAACAATTCCGGTGAATAATGTCGCTAGTTTTTTTAAAATCATGACTTCCATACAAAGAGATATAGTATGGAATAACAATCGCTACTGTTGTTGTCGTAACAACAGTATATGTTGTATTCCTTTTTGTTAATCCGGCTTTAGCTCTAGGTTTAAAAAATCGGCAAACTTAGTAGGATGTAACCAAAAATCTTTTGGAATGAGTGGGGTAGGTTTGGAAGGACAGTGATCCCTCGAATTGTGGGGCACATTCAGCTGTTTTCTCATCTCGCATCGCAGACCATGTGGTAGAGAGTGTGGCCGTTGACTTAGTGCGGATATTTTCATATTCCTCGTGTGGAAATAGGCGGTAAAATGCGCAACATTTAATGATCATACCCAGGGTATATCAAAGAGGTCATTGGGAGACTTTTTGCTTTGATTTCATAAAGTCAGCCTTATTTACGGCCGAATAAAGACGAAATCTACTACTGCTTGGAATACGCAATAACTTTTGTTAAGCTACTAGGAGTGCTTGACCTTAAACACTCCACTGTACACTACAGTACCTCCTCTTCACCATTTGTTCGGTTACAGCAAATTTCTTTCTTTCTGATAAGTTATTCCTTTGATAACAACTTTTCTAAAACTCCTGACCAATGGGTGATGATTTTAGGTTTGTTGTTATAGTCTTAATTCATTAGATTCCCCTAGCTTCGGAAAATTCTTTTCAGCGTCCCTACATTTTAGAAGGAAAATATTACAATTATTTATTTGAAGTCCTTGTCTACCCTTGGAAAAATATATAAAGCTTGTTATATGCAAATATAGTTTTTATAGGAATAGCGGCCACTTCACCATTATTATTGTGAAATTATCTAAAATTGTTCCAAAAAATGCAAAATGTATCGACATAAACCAATACCTTTCCCAAAACCTAATACCCAAAACCTTTCTAAAGATTGACCATGATATTTTGCACTTGCTCACCTTCGTAAAATATGCAAAATTTATAATATTCTGTCTCTGAATTAGCTGATATATTTAATTCCAATCATATTTTCATGCGTCGATCATAGCAGTGTATAACGAGTAGGCTCTGAATTTAAAGGAGACTTTCGCAAACTCCATATATATTTTCTCTCCAATTCCTTATTTTTTAAAGAATATTAGATGTACACATCACGCGCCCTTTTCGCTATATATATTTTTTTTATAAACTATGATCGTTTGTAAGTCCATCTGTGATTCATACATGATGACCAAACTACAATATTCAGATTTTTTAATCTTGCAGAAGCCACCAGCAAATACTTTACTGTCGTGAACCGTTAATTGATAAGATAAGCGTATTTTAATGACCGAATTTTTAAAAACGGTACCAACCGCGACATCGGCATTTTTGTGCCTACAACAAAATAATGTATGGCTTATTTACAATGATCTGTAAAAAGTGCCGATGATATATTTGTTTGCAAATACAAACAGTTGCGTAATAAATATATCTTGCTAAACAGATGTGTAATTTTTAGACATATATACACAATTATAGGTATTTGATTTATATTACACATATCTATATAGTCTGTTTCTTAATTTTTATTTCAATTCTTCTATCCCTCAATGATAATCCTTTCCTTATTTTTTTGCAGCCTGACAGCCCGTACCAAGGTGGTGTGTTTTTCTTAACAATTCACTTTCCAACAGATTATCCATTCAAACCACCAAAAGTGGCTTTTACAACGCGTATATACCATCCAAATATAAACAGTAATGGATCTATTTGCCTCGATATATTGAGATCTCAGTGGTCGCCAGCACTTACTATATCAAAAGGTTGGTATAAATTAAATGTTTACACATATACCACCCATATACACATACTAATTGCAACTTTGTTTTTATGTTACAGTTTTATTATCAATTTGCTCTCTACTCTGTGATCCGAATCCAGATGATCCTCTTGTTCCAGAGATTGCAAGAATATATAAAACTGATCGGGAAAAATATAATGAATTGGCACGAGAATGGACTAGGAAGTATGCTATGTGATGCGTTCCAGTTTGTATAATTGAATCGTCGTCGTCGATGTCGATGTTGATGTCGTCGTTGTTGCTGTTGTTGTCGTCGTCGTTACCGTCTTCAACATCATCATCACCACCACCATCATCTTCGTCGTCGTTGACGCCATTAATGTTGCCGACGTTGTCGTCGCCGCCGTCGTCGTCATCATCATTATTCTTATTCTTATATTTCAACTTAATTATAATATTATTGTCGTCGTCAAATGGTTACAACAACAACATCTACAACTATTTAAATAAATTCAATAATGAAAACAAGATCAACTATTACTACTACAACAATAATAATAATAATAACAGCAACAACAATGAGAACAACATCAACAGCAACAATCGCAGCAGCAGCAACAACAGCATCAGCAACAACAACAGCAACAATATAATATATTGAAGAGAGAATAAATACAGCAACAAGAAATGTGTTTTGTAAAGAGAAAAATGATTTGGAGGATTAAACAAAATAATAATAAAGGAAAAAAAAAAACAAAAATTATAAAAGAATTTTGCTACTATCACTACAACAACAACAACTTAGCGACAAAATAAACAGAATTATGTAATGTGTAAACGCTCTTTAAAGGAAATATAATTAAAGTAAAAAAGATAACAAAAAACAAACAGCAACAGCAAGTAAATTAGATATACATTAATTAAACAGAAGTAAAAATACAAATACCACACTACCAAACAAACAAATAAAAACAACAAACAGCAAACATTGCAACACCACACATAGCGCCCCCTTTTTACAGACCTAAAACACACCCATATACACGCAAAAAGATAAACATTCATCATTAATTGAATAAATATAAAAAAGCATAATGATGTGAAAACAACAAAAAACAATTAAACATTTAATAATAATGATATTAATTAATAAATAAAAGATTCATTTATTCAGTTTAAACAATTTATAAAAGAAAGAGAAGAGGAATAATAGCAAACAAATAAAACTGAGAAAGAAAGTAATATGTAAAAAGAAGCGTTTTAAGAAACCAATACATCTGCAGCACTTGCAATTGACTTGCAAGCCGGTCTCCTGCTATTATTTATTCCCCGTTTTCATTAATTTATCCTCTGTAGCAGCAATTAAAATGTTGGGAGTTTTTCTTCAGCAGGGGGTTTCTCCAAAAATGCTTTCGTTTCATACGGATCGTGTGGGAAACTTTTCGTTAACTGAATGGCTCGAACAAGACGTTCATATTTATTATATAATGCTTTCGTTTCATACAGATCGTGTGGGAAACTTTTCATTAACTGAATGGCTCGAACAAGACGTACATATTTATATATTTGTATTCTATTATATTAAAATTGGATATAAAAAAACCCGCTTTTTTGTTGTTTCAAATCCATTTGTTTTACTTTTTTAAGTAATTTTAAATTTTATATTGTTATTTTGAATTACAATTTTTCTCAAAATTTAATTCTAAATTATAATATTCAAACGGAGATGGATTTTTTTCAACTTAAAAAATTGTTTTGAAGTTTAATTAAAGCTGGGGTTTTAGTGTAGTGTTATATTGGAGCTCGAATACATCCGGTTTGTTTCCCCACTCAAAAGCACTGAATTAACGATGCCAAGTAAGTTACGTGGTTATTGAATTGTCTTGATTCTTATAGCTATTTTCCAAATGCGATTCGCTGGAACAACGAATTTTCAATCTTAACAAAGGAATGATACTGCCAATAATTATTTACTTTTCGTTCATATTTTCAAGCCAATTTTCTTATTTAGAATCGTTCAAAGTATACAATGTTTAAAAATTCCATTTAATATGAAATAAAGCAGCTAATAAAAAACCCAGCTAAACATAACTTTTCTGATAGACTTAATTTTTGGTATAGAGAATTTGGTTCGATTTTTTATAAATACGTATTCTTTAAAGTGAAATCTTACTGCATCCAGTTGAATTAAGGCAATCATATCATTCTCATATAGAATGTGGCAATGTGAAAAATTGGTTTCTTAAAAATAAAGAATTTTTTGCCGTGCTGTCATTATATATATACATCTTTTAAAATATATAATTCTTTGTATTTTGCAAATGAAAACAAAAATATAAGCATCCAGTAAAGTTGACAACACCGCCAAGAGTTCGTTCTATAATAAATGCTAAGACCCAATCACACAATTGACGTTTTTAAACTTATTTTCTTTTTTTTCTATGAATGGAACTTTGTCATTGTAGCTCCTTTTCATCATCTGTATATTTATGATGTTCACTTGTTTTAGGTGTAATCTAAATAAGTAAATACGTATTTTAATTTTTAATAATTTTCAATAATAAACGTATTAAAAAACATAAATATACCTTTGTTAATCATTCTTTATTCATTGAACACAGATTTTCATTTAGATATAGTTTCGTTTCTGTTAATTTCATCCGAACGATTGTGAAATGATTTTACCTATAAAAGATTGGTAATTAATCGGGCGTTGTTGTTGTTGTAGTATTGTCTAAGTGAAATGGATGGTAAGGGGGGTTACACGGAATTGTCATCAAGACTATTGCATATGATAATTGATCCTGTAGTTGTGTCAATCAGTCACTGCCTGAGTATCTATAATGGTTTGTCTTCACAACTTGAACGAAACTAATTCCGTAATGAACGGGATGTTCCTCGAACGTAAAAAAAAAATTATAGCATAATTAAAAACATTAGATCCACGAAGGTTTAATCCCTTTTATATTCTGGTACTAAGAATCAGCGTACGAAAATAAACTTTACCAAACGTGTGCAATCGATTCGTTCCGTATTTTCCGAATCCGTGCGAAACGAAACAAAACCGATATTAAGAAAACGAGACTTATTTTGTGTTTTGTACTGTTTGCGTAGATGTGTGGCAACAAAAACAAAACTGAAATGTACTCTGCTGGATGACGCGACATAGGAAACGAAACAGTACAAAACTCATTGCAAACGTTTATATATCCTTGATCAGGGTAAATTTCTAAGTCGATTTAGCGATGTCTGTCGGTCCGTTGTATTCACACTATCTTTTGAACGAATTGAGATCGAATGCTAAAATTTTGCACACATGGAACAGTGTTGGTTTGTTTATTATGTCAGTAGGCATATAACGGAATCTCCCGATATTCGGTGTTTTGATGTTTTTAGTGACATTATTCACCGGAATTGTTTCAAATTTGGCATTGGAAGTTCGAAATGCAGGTGCAGGTTCTCATCTTCGTATAGCCCCACATAAAGGTACCTCCTATTTGGATGATTTTAGCGTAATTATTCACCGGAGTAGTTTCAAATTACGAATTTAGAGTTCGTAATGGTAATGTAACAGAAAATTGTCTATTCAGGTCCAAGTCTGTACCTCCCTATATTCGGTATATTGACACTTCGGCAAATCAGAGCCGAAGTACATTAAGGTTTGTGTACTTCTGACATTGAAATGTTTATTGTATTGTGTTGTTTGAAGTACAAAACGATTGAAAATTATTTTAAAGTTTGTGATTTCGTGTGTTTGTTTCGTTTGTTTTCGTTCGCTGCTAAGAATTTTAAATTGCTACAGAAAAGTTATTAACAGGTATAACAAACACTTGAAACTTTTCTCCCGAAAAACGTTTCGCTCAAAACTAAAAGTCTTAATAAATTTTCTTTATAAAGGTAAGTATTGACGTTTTGCGAATCGAATTTAATTCAATAAATATTTTACAATTTCATAACAATGTCAGCTGTATGTTATCGTAATGCTGAGACCATATTCGTCTTTATTCTGAACAGACTTCCGAAATCTCGCTCGAATTTGAACGGAGTGGAACTCGAATTCAAGCGGGTGCTTTGGGAACTGAAAAAAAAATCGAGGAAAATCAATTTCCCGATATCGTTCGATATCGGAGTGAACATGTCTTCCTCGTTTTTGAGTGGGAGCAAAATTCGTCCGAAATCGAGAAGATTCTACTCCTACCGAATAGTTTTTTATACCCTCCACCATACTATGGAGGGTATATTAATTTTGTCATTCCGTTTGTAACTCCTCGAAATACTCACGTCAGACCCAACAAAGTATATATATTCTTGATCAGCGTAAAATTCTAAGACGATTTAGCCATGTCCGTCTGTCTGTCTGTGTGTCTGTCTGTCTGTCTGTCCGTCTGTCTGTCTGTCTGTCTGTCTGTTGTAATCACGCTATCTTTCGAACAAATTGAGATAGAAGGCTAAAATTTTGCACACATGTATATTTTGCCAGTAGGCAGGTTAAGTTCGTAAATGGGTCATGTAGGTCCAAGTTTTCATATAGCCCCCATATAACGGTACCTCTCGATATTCGGTATTTTGATAATTTTAGCGACATTATTCACCGGAATTGTTTCAAATTTGGCATTTGAAGTTCGTAATGGATACTACAGCCTAAGACAGAAAATTATCTGTGCAGGTCCACGTCTTCGTATAGCCCCCATATAATGGTACCCCCCGATATTCGGTATTTTGATGATTTTAGCGACATTATTTAACGGAACCGTTCCAAATTTGTGTATTTGAAGTTCGTAATAGATACTGCAGCAGAAAACAGAAAATGGGCCATGTAGGTCCACGTCTTCGTATAGCCCCCATATATCGTACCCCCCGATATTCGGTATTTTGATGATTTTAGCGACATTATTTAACGGAACCGTTCCAAATTTAGTATTTGAAGTTCGTAATAGACACTGCAGCAGTAAACAGAAAATGGACCATGTAGGTCCACGTCTTCGTATAGGCCCCATATACCGTACCCCCCGATATTCGGTATTTTGATGATTTTATCGACATTATTTACCGGGATTGTTTTAAATTTCGCATTTGAAGTTCGTAATGTATACTTCAGCCCATGCCAGAAAATTGTCTGTGCAGGTCCACGTCTTCGTATAGCCCCCATATAACGGTACCCCCTATATTCGGTATTTTGATGATTTTAGCTACATTATAAACAAATTTTTCTTCAAGTTTCGCATTTAAATGTTGTAATAACTTATGACAAAAGTTGCCTATGCAGGTATACGTCGTCGTATAGACATTCCGTATTTTTAAGATTTTAACAGAATTTTTAAAGGATTTTTTTTATTTTATTTATTTATTTTTTTTTTGGAAATTGCCAAATTTATACCAAATGGTGGAGGGTATTAAAAGTTCGGCCCGGCCGAACTTACAGCTTTTTTACTTGTTAGTTTTTGTCATACTGTCGTTGTATTTCTATGTATGTGTATTTTTCCTGTACAAGATCCTATCCCACTCTTCCCCATTTCCAAGCCTTTTCCCTCCCATCGGTTTGCTATTGCACACACACACAAATCTCAATTTTGAGCGAAAGTAATTTCCCGGAATCAGGGTACAAGCATTTACCTACTAAACTGGAGTTGTTCTTAGACTCCGTAAAAAATTCCCACTCTCCGAGCAAACCTGCTCGCGAGCAAGTTTCGCTCCTGAGTGAAAATAAGCAAATCTCTGCTATGATTCTGAATGAGCTCGAATGTTAATATCTATTCACTGCGAAAAATTATGTTTTCTGAATGCGAACAAATTTTAATCCAGCACCATTTTCGTCGTGGCCGTTACACCAAGCAATACAATGGATTTGTTCATGGTATTTTTATTTATAAACAGTGAAAGAAGCAAACGATTTAAATGAAATTTACGAAATCCCCATTGATGTTTAAAAAAATTGTTGGGGTCAAATATTTACCAAAAAGTAGATAGAACAAATGCAATCTTCAAATTTTTAATAAAACTTTGCACTGCAATCCTCCATACATGGCATATCTTTATATATCTAACAATGTTGTATCCAGTTGAAAATTGTTCTTCTCGGTACTACCAAACAAAGGTCAAACAAAGGTTCTGGTGTCTACCAAACAAAGGTCAAAAGAATCAGCGGTTAGTTTGAAACAATGTGTTGCCCATTAACGTCGAAAATATACATTTATTTTGCAACCGAATTTGAATTGAATTTGAATTTCCAGTTATTGTATTTTGTATTTAGGGGGTAGCTTTGTTCTACCTTCTGTAATCGGTCCGTCGAGTTCCTTAACAAAAAAAAAATGTTATCCTTTTTAAATAAAAGCGATATTTTAGAAAATCTATAAAGACTTACAGTTAAAAAATACAAATATTGATCCTGATTAAGATTTTGAAACATATGCAGTTGACGGTTTGCATTTAGTTTGTGATTCTGCGTTGCAATTTAAAATGTCGATTTATCTTATGTAATTTTGTTCCAAAAAAAGGTAGCAGTCTGGTTCTGTTCTGTTTTTGTAAATGATGTGGCTTATTCAATTTAGAAAACCAAAAACTACAAGTGTTGATATTCACTCATAGATCTTAAAATTGGCAATAATTGACGGTTTTCTCAAATTTGTATTAGTAGCATGGTACAACAAGGAGGTAGAACAGCTTCGTAAAATTACAGAAATACAGCCCTGAGGCTATGCTAGATTCCTGTCAGACTCATTCAAAAGTATATACAACAAATTGTTTTCATTTTTTCATATTTTTCCTCATTTTTAAATGAGTTAAATAGCACGAAAAATGAATGAAATGCCTGGATTTTCTCTCAAAAATATGATCCAAACTGTTCGATCCTTAATTTTCATGGCTAAACTGGTTAATAGCTTTAATGCGCGAGCCGCAATGTATGTGTCTTCCAATCATTGATTTTGAAAATGTTTTGTTTCCATTTTTCAAAACAATAAATACATACACAAAATTGGCAGAAGTCGGACACACTTAGAAAACAAGTAAGCAAAGGCTACCGTCGAGCGGGGCCGACCGTTGAACACCCTACAACACTATAATAAACGATACAGTTTATATAGGCGAGATACTCGAAAGAATTCCACAAGATATTGTGACAAATAATAAAAGAAAACCATCAGGTTTCGTTCTCTAATTTTCGAATAATAGCAACTTAAACTAATTTCCTCATTTCCAATTTATTGGTAGATGTTGCACGTAAATGGTCTTCCTAGATCTGGAACCAATATTTCCCAAAGACCTATAATCTCTCAGAAGTGGCAAAAGATTAACATTTATTATTGGTTTTTGACTGAAACGCATCTATATGAGATACAGCCATTTGGCTATATTCTTCAACTAAATCAGCGTTAACGAAATAGTCAGAAGTGCGTCTTTCCTGTATTTGTGAATTCTCCAAGAAGTCACTGTAATGGACATTTTCGTATTTTATCTACAAAAGTTGGCAAACTATTTCACACATTGAATATTTTTGGATGGCCAACCAAAACTGCTTGGCTTTTGCAATGTCCGGTAACCCCCATTCAAATGTGCGTGAGGATCGGGCGATTATTACGACCTGC